TTTAATTTTTTTTTTAACGTTTATTTTTGAGACAGAGAGAGACAGAGCATGAGCGGGGGAGGGTCAGAGGGAGGGAGACACAGAATCCGAAACAGGCTCGAGGCTCTGAGCTGTCAGCACAGAGCCCGCACAGAGCCCGACGCGGGGCTCAAACTCACGGACCGTGAGATCATGACCTGAGCCGAAGTCGGCCGCTTAACCGACTGAGCCACCCAGGCGCCCCAAGTTCTGGCTGTTTTTATGGAGGGGTGAACTTTGGGAGGTCCTCAGTCCACCATTTTTTGCCAGCATCCCCTCCTGGCCCCGTCTTACTTGAGGGTGCTTCTCTGCCCTCACCCCCACAAGGAAGGTGGAGCTAGTGGAGAGGGGGATGGGAAGCAGGAAGCGGTTTGGCTGAGGTCACAACCACATGGGTCTCACAGGGGAACCTGGGAACCAGGTGGCACAAGCCCTGAGCCTCCACATGGGCTGTGGTGAAGTTAATGAGGCCAGTGGATTTCCCGGGCATGGAGGCTGCATCTGCCTCCTAGTTAGGACAGAGCACAGATGGAGGAGGAACAAGGAAGTGGTTCTGTTTCTCCTCAGATGCTTAAATCCTAAGCCTCTACTTTTAGTTCTATGCTTTGTCTGGAAATGGGGAACAGAGGGGGCACAGAGGGAAATGTACACCTCCAGTCCTCAGAGGCTACCATGCCTCCCTTCCAGCTGTCAGGCCCTCAAGAGCAGCCTCCAGAGGGGACAGGTGGCTTGTGCACAGAGGTGGCCCTCGGGCAGATTATGTGGCTCTGTAGGGTGGCAGGGTGCTATTGTACAAGGTAGCTACAACAGACGGGAAAGGTGGGTGACCCTTAGTGACCCCCACACCCATCAGCCAAGCCCACATTGGTTCTGCTTAAAGCCCCTGAAGGCCACAGTCAGCTCCCAGGAGCTGGGCAGTCGTCTCAGGCAAACCTGCATATGTGCCAGGGTGCCCTGCAGAGGCAACAGGCCTGGGCCCACCATGCTGGACCTCAGCTGGGCAGCCACCATGTCTCCATTCGCTCAGAGGAGGATAGAGCAGGAGCTGTCCGGTGCAGGGGGAGTCAGCTCAGTGGCCACTCCACCCTCCCATCACCCACCTCCACCACACCCTCCCTGGGTGCCTGCCAAGACTTGCTTATGTTTTAGGCCCTTTGATTTCCAGACCTTTCAGTTTTCTTTGCACAACCCCGAGAAATTCCTGACTTTATTTTTATTGCCAATTGGAATCATAAACTGTTTGCAGTCTGCTTCCTCTCCACCAGCACATCTTACTCTTCTTACTCTCATGGGCTGCTGAGAGGACGCTGGTCCTTGTGTCTCCCCAGTCTGCTTGGCAGTCCCTCTTGGGCTCCTCTGGGATTCAGGAGAGTCTGTACAATTCCCAGGCTCCCTCAAGAGTGCCCAATAGCATCCAGCCTTCAGCCTTGTGCTTTTGGAGCCAGCCTGTCCCTTCATGCCCTGACTCACTCTGCTCCTCACCTGCCCTCCTCTCGGCCCGGGTCTGGATCAAGGGGAAGGCCCTGGAGAGCAGGGAGAGCCATACCCCAGCTCCCCAGCCACCTCATACAGCCAAGGTGTGCTGGGGTGCTTTGCCCAGTAGTGGATGGCACACTGAGTCAGATATAGCCTGGTCACCTGTCCCTAGAGGCTAAACCTGAATAAAAGTCTGTGGAGCAAGGAAGTGCACCCATGTGTGAGCCGGGGTGGTTCTGGTTGAGTTGCGTCTACAAAATGGTCGTCCTCTTTGGGGGAAGTCTCTAGGAACAGGCTAGGTGATGCTCTTCTCACACTGATCCTTTTTTTTCTGGGTAGATCGAAGGCGCCTTGGAATATGGAATTACAAGTGATGACATCTTCTGGCTGAAGGAGTCCCCTGGAAAAACGTAAGACCTGGCATGGGCCTTAGTGGAAATCCTCTTGTTCACAGTTGCAAACATCAGGGCCATTTAGAACCATATGTTAGTCCTGTCTCTCTAGTGCATTCTTTCTTATCTACTGGAAAGAAGGAAAGGGAACATGGTTCTTGTGCCCCTTGGTGGGGCTGTTGACATACTGCATCCTGTGACTGTCTTAGAAGTGATGACACAAGTATTACAAAATGCATCAGCCAACTGTCTAGGGCAGCGGTTTTCAAATAGGGTTCTTGGAGCCCCAGGGTATCAGTGGGTCCCGTTAAGGACATCACAGAGGAAGGATATTCAAGGAGGAGAAGGTAAGGCCAGGTCATTAGGGAAAGCCATTGACCTCTCCTTGGGCCTTGATTAAACATCCCCTTTCCTCTGGTTTACACCTTGGGCTTCCCTGAAATCCAGCAAAGGCTCCAAAGTTCTCAGAAACCATAGCTCGGTTGTGGAAATAAGACTTGAAGTGTGTGAGTGGTTTTACACTTCCTGAGCAGGTGATAATGCACTAAATGCACTTCCTGTACCCACAGAGCAGGCTGTTAGGGGGGCGTTTCAGGTCCAGACAACTCTTGTGAGCAGCGTTGGGGGTAGTAGTTGGGGGGGTGGGGGTGGGGGACTTCATGCTTGCAGGGACTGGAAAGGCCACCAGAGGGCAGCAGAGGCTTGGTCGTCAGCAGGCGCTCGGTGGCCTTGGGACTTGGTTTTGAGAATATACATACATACATACATATGGGGTGGAAAAGCGAGGAAAAGTGCGAGGGTAAATGGGTGTGTGTGTGCAAGTATATGTGTGTAGGCACGGGTGTGCTCTGCTTGTTACTGTTTCACTCTTCATGAGGCATCTCTGTTCGCAGCCGGGGCTTGATTCCCTTGAATGGATGTGATGTAGTTTATCTTTTCATGACTCATGAACATCTCCCTAGTCTCTTTTTGTCATCATCATGAAATGCTGCAGTGAAAACCTTTGACGTGCATCTTATTACTGTCATAATGCTTCTTGCATGTTACATACACCTGTCAGGGGTGTTTCCTACAGGTAGAGAACCCAGGTGCAGGGGTAGGTGCCCTTCACACCTTCACCCATGCTGCTAGCAGGCCCTCCCTCCTGGTGGGCTTCACCAGGTTACAGGTGCGCTTCTGCCTGCTGTCCCCCTTCACCCTGCCTGGGACTTCAGCTTTTTCATGAGCTGTAAAACAGAAGGGAACCTCTCCCCCTGCTCCTTTGGGGTGAGCACCACTTGTTTGTGCCCAAGGCCTGTGTGGTCCCTCCCAGTGACTGTGGTCAAGCTCATGCAGGTTTGCATCCCTCTGTCCATCACCTTCTACCAGTTCCCCCAGCTGTGGTTTGTCTTTCTACTTGGGGGTATTTTTTCATACAGAAGTTTGTAGTTTTCATGTTGTCACATTGATCATTTTTTTCCTCTATGCCGAAATTTCTGAGTTATCTTTTCTTTTATCATCAGCCAATTGGTTAAACATGGCCTGATTTTATTTGGATTTGCTATTATTAGTCATCATTTCACATATTTATTAGCCATTTAAAACTGAGTGTGTTGGGGCGCCTGGGTGGCTCAGTTGGTTGAGTGTCCAACTTCGGCTCAGGTCATGATGTCATAGCTTGTGAGTTCGAGCCCCGCGTTGGGCCCTGTGCTACAGCTGGGAGCCTGGGGCCTGCTTCGGATTCTGTGTCTCCCTCTCTCTCTGCCCCTTACCCACTCGCATTCTGTCTCTGTCTCTCTCAAAAATAAACATTTTAAAAAAATTTAAAAAAACTGAGTGTGTCTGTGAATGTGTGTGAGAGAGAGTGTGTGCGTGTGTGTGTGTGTGTGAGAGAGAGAGAGAGAAAGAGTGTGTGTGTGTGTGTGTGTGTGTGTGTGTGTGTGTGTGTTGTCAGCTTGGTCCTTGGCCCACTTTCTATCCGGTTTTCCTTTTTTCTTATCTGTTTCTTATCTTCCAGCTGGTTTGCGTATTAAGGCTGTGATCCCATGTCGTTTATACTGCAGATTTTCTCAGCTTGTCATGTCGCTTAACTTGTGTGATGTACAAATGGTTTTTTTTTAACTTTTTTTTTTTTTTTTTTTTTTTTTTTTTTTTTTTTTTTTACGTACCTTAGATCTCTTTTTACACTTAATGGCTTTTAGATTTATTGCATGTTCAGGAAGGCCTGCTCCACCCCCAAGACTGTTTTTGAAAAAGAGCCCCTGTATTTTCCTTTAGGCCTTCCACAGGTCAGATTTTCCTTTGCGACCTTGAGGTATTTGCAGTTCATCTGTGATATGGTATGGTGTGGTGTGGTGTGGAGTGGAGTGGAGGAGTGTGGTGTGGAATGGTATGGTGTGGAGTAGAGGGTGTGGTGTGGAGGGGTGTGGAGTGGAGGGGTGTGGTCTTAAATGGTGTGTGGCGTGGAGCGGTGTGGTGTGGAATGGAGTGGAGGGATATGGTGTGGTGTGGTAGGTGGAATGGTATGGAGTGGTTGTGTGGTGTGGAGTGGAGGCGTGTGGAATGGTACGTGGAGGGGACTGGTGTGAGGTGTAGAGGGGTGTGGTGTGGAGTGGAATGGAGTGGAGAGATGTGGGTGGTATGGTATGTGGAGTGGAATGGAGTGGTGTGTGGTGTGGAGTGGTAGAGAACAGGCTTCTAGGGTTCCCGTGTCGCTGACCACTCACCCTTGAGCCGGGCTGAAAGCTCCATCCCCGAGTGGAATCCCGGTCCTGCTCTGGCTCCTGGCTCCCACTTTCCTGTATCACTGGCGCAAGTGCCTGGCGTTGGCTTCAGATCTTCTTAGTTTTCTTTCGCGTTGATTCCTCTGGGTGGAATGTAGACCTGGTTTGCCAGCCTCTCCACAGTGGTCCGCTGGACCCGTGGTTCAGCCTTGAATGTGCAAGTGCCTGGGAGGCCAGCTCCCTGCACGGAACTTGTGTCCTGTCTGAGGCTGCCATGCGCTTCAGTTGTCTCGGGCCATGACCAAAGGCCAGCATTTTCTGAATCCCAGTCTTTTGTCAAATTAGTTCCTGCATATTCTGTTGTTTTCTTTTGTTTGCTCTTTTCCCATTACGTTTTAAAAGTGGTATCTTCAGTGCCCAGGAAGGGGTCGGTTTCTAGTGATTCTCTCCCTAGCCACTGGTCATGGAGGCTGGGTGTGTGGAGAGGCTGTCCTAGGCCATCACTCAGGGCTGGGGAGGGCAGGAGGCGCAGGCATGGTGGGTGCCGCCGGTGCTCAGCCTGGTGGCCCAAGCTGTGGGCCCCTCCTCTGTGACCGAGTGCCGGGGCAGTGGCCTGCTCCGCTGGGAAGACACCACCCCAGATATTTTGGTCAGGAAAGAAAGTGCTGTGTTTATTTTCTTCAGAAAAAAAACATTTAGAAGATTTTTTTTTTTTTTTTAAAAAAGCTCTTTCGTTTAGAAGGAATCTAGGTATGTTATTGTTTAAGAAAAAAGTGTTTGCAATGTATCAGTCACCCGTTTCGTTCTGAGCATGATTTATGTGAGGAAATGGTTTTTTTTAAAAATTAAGCTGGAGATATATCCCTGTACGATGCTTCTGTGAAAATGCGGCTTTTGTCCGGTGCTGTTAATGCAAGTTGTAACAGTGTGATATGGGAGTCAGTGTTTACATGCTACATTCCTCTGCTGCAGTCAAAATAAGCCCGGAGGGTCTACAGTAGCATTTCTGTATTTTATCAGCTTGGGCTGGGGCTGAGGGGGAGGCCTCTGCTCACACTTGGAGGGGCTGTTTCTGCCAGATTTATTTGCCTTATAAATATTCCCTGTGTTTATTTTAACTTGCTTTTAAAATGGAGCTGAAATTAATATGGACCTGAGGGCTGCCCCCGGCCCTGTAGTGCCTCCCACAGCCGGGCCGGGCATTTCTGCTTGGTCCCATCGGGAGGCCCAGCCGGTGGTGGAGGGTGCCCAGAGAGCCTGGGCTCTGCCTGCAGCGGGTGCCATCCCCACCGGCCTCTGGGTGGGCACGTCCGGCCCCACGTCCCTTATGGGTTCTACAGCATGCATAGGGCCTTCTTCCCTTCGTCCCTCCCCATGACGGGGCACAGGCAGCATCTGAGACCTTTCAGGATGTATCGGAGTGGGGCACAGTGGCAAGTAGCCCTTCGTGAGGCCTGTGTCCTATGGTTGCTCCACGTCTTTGCCCCCTCAAGGCATGAACCCCAGCGGCCATAGAGGTGTTGTAGGCTCACAGACATTTGAGGAGTGCCTCTATCCTCCTTTGCTCGAATCCAGGTCTGGGGAACCTAAGGCTGGATAGATGGTAGAGAGGGGATGATGAAGCCCAAGCCCAGTTGGTGGAAAGAATTAAACACCCTTCACTACACAGCTGGATTACCCCAGAGGTAACAGATCATGTGTAGAAAACTCTAACATATGCAGTGTGAGCTCCCAAGTCCATGAGCAGGACCCTGTGAGGCCAGGGGGGAGATGCAGCCCGGCTGCCCAGACCCTCAGAACCACACCCCCACCTGAGGCATCCACTCAGCCTAGGCTACCCAAATGCCAGCTTTGTGTCTGGCTTGTTTAGCTTTTCCGTTGTTCTTGTTTCTTCATTTTTCTGGGTAAATCCAGGGCAGGTTGAGGAGGAGCAGGAAGTGAGGAGGATTCTGGGAGAACAACAGGGTCCCCTAGGCAGGTAGCAGGAGCCCCTTCGGAAGGAATGCTCAGGGGGATGATGGCCACTTCAAGAAACCATCCACCACCAGTGGAGGAAATGGGGGTGCAGGGTGTGCGCTGCCCTGCATGGGGAAGCTTGGAGATGGCATGCAACTCTCCCTGCCCCAGCTGTCCAGCCCAGCAACCCTCTGGCAGGTGGAGGGAGGGTGGAAAGGAGAAAGGGAGGCCGACTCACCACAATGCTTTCAAGGAGGCAGGCACTGGGGTATCTGGATCCTTGTGCACCCAGGCAGCTTGGCTCCGCCTTTGATCACACAGCCGGGTGACCTTGGTTCACTCACCTGGAGGGTCGCCTCCTCTTTCAGGCCTTCTGGACCCAGGCATCCTGGCTGGGACTTGGGCCCAGCTGCCCAGTCTGCCCGGGCCAGGATCCTCAGGTCCTGTGCACGCTGTGACTATTCAGGCAGCCTAAAGGTGAGGAATTGAGGTCACTCTGCTCCAGACCCCCTTGGCTCCCTGGCCCAGCTGGTCAGCACTCACACCTGGGGTTCACGCCATGTCTGCAAGGCCAGCTCTGTGCATAGGTGGGAGCTTTGGGGTGACTTAAGTACTGTCACCTTTCTCTGACATAAGAGGACTTGAATGAGACTGGAGTCACCTAGGGGCGGCTCTTCTCCCACGTTGGCCTGACACACAACTGAGTTGCTATTTCCAGGTCACAGCCTGGACCTGGCTGTTCCCACTCGCCAGCCCAGGACTGTCCGCTCTCCCACAGCTGCACAGCCTGGCCCTCTCTGTCCTCGGACCCTACTGCTCTGTGAGGCAGAGTGTTTTTGTAACTCAAGCTGATTTAACACTGCTTGTCAGAGTTGGTCCTAAGAGGTTTTTTGTGTGTGTGTGTGTGACCCTTATTTTAAGTCTGGAATCTGACTAGGTTTTGTGATCATTTTTCTCTCTCCCTAAGCGCAAAAGGGAAGAATATAAAATTTATCTTGTGAAGAACCACAGCCATTTGGTTAGGAAAACTCACTCCTGCGAATTTTCTCATTTCCTGCTTAATCTCCACGTTCATTTGGTGTGACAGCCTTGTGTCCAGCAAAAGGGGGACCAGCTCTCTGCCTGACACTTGGCTACCAGCCTGTAAAGCCCCACTGACCATCTCCCTGGCATGTCTAAGACATGCCGGGCTTAGGGGCTGAGGAAGACAACTCCTCCAGGTGGCATCTGTTATGAGGCCAGAACACAGAGGCTCTGGCTAGGCGGAGGGGGGCCCAGTGTCAGGCCCTGAGGGGTGGGATGGGTCTGGCAGATCCCAGGCAAGCCCGGAGCCAGCCCCCACTGGGGAGGGGGCCTTGGGGCCCCCCACCCTCCTTGCTGCCTCCCCGGGGCACCTGAGCTCACAGCTCGTTTGGCATTTCCTGCACTGGTGGGGCCGCCAAGGAGCCAGGTGCCTGCCGTGAGGGCCTCACTTTGTGTGGGTGTTCCCTTTGGGGAGCGGATCAGGGGCCTTCAAACTCGAGAGGCAGGTGGAGGGCTCTTTAAGCTGGGGCTTCATGGGTCTGAATTAAGGCTTTTGTTTCTGCTTCCTCCCCCATTCAGATTTTGAACAAGAAAGCCTGCCCTGTGATTAGGCTAATCCCACAGTAGTTATACCTTCACATGAAATGTTTGCACACCGAAGGGCACAGAGAGCAGAGCTGCCCAGAACACACGTAAAATTGAATCAGGGGCTCCCAGGATGCAGGGTAGTGATTTCCCATGTGGACTGATACCCTTGTGTCTGGGTCTCTTACTGTAGTGACAAGGTGAGTGTTTCCAGGCCTCAGAGGCTCACTCGGGCCCTTCCCCCAGATCCAACAAGCTGGTCCTGACTTCTCCTGGCAGCACCCCTGTCCTCCTGTGGCTGGCCAGGGCCAGCAGTGGTCATCGTGCCTTGGCAGCCGACCTCATGGTTCCCAGGCCCCCTTCCTGGCCAAGAGTCCCTTAGCAGCCAGTGGAACTTGTCTGCGGTTTCAAAGCTACCAATAAAAACAAAACAGTGCCCCTGTCTTCTGGCAGCCCCCCCACCCCGCGTGGTCTGGAGGCTCCGGTGTCTGTCTGTTTTTGCTCTGGCATTTTCCTACTTTAGCTCATTTGAAGAGAGTTCTTGGATCCTGCTTTCTGCAAAGAATAATGATTATTTGATAAATTGGGCACAGGGATGGAGTGAAAACCAATACTCACAAAGACAAGAAGAGACCCAAAATTACCTTCAAGAGAGCAGGATGCTTGCTTGTTTATGAGATTTCAACTATACACATGCAGTTAAGGACACCCACTTAGGAATGGCTGAGCTGGTGCCTGCTGTCTTCCAGATGTGTCCTTCATCGGCAATTCAAAGCTGGTGGCCTGAGGGGTGGGCACCGTGACTTTGAGGTGGGAGTAGGAGACCCAGAGCATTGAGGTGGCTCCATGGGAAGAGCTGGCTGCTCAGCACCTACATGACCGCCCACCCTACCTCCCCATCCAGCTCCCCATCCATATAGTGCAGGAGGTTGGGGAGTTACCCGGAGGCTGCAGAAACAAAACAGTTTTTTGCCAGAATCAGGAGACTACACTGCCGTGTCCTTGGCAATGTGATAAGAGGGCCTGGGTTTGTCCTGTATGCTGCACCTGGCAGCCAGCTGTCTCCCGCTGGAGGGTCCACTTTACAGAGGCAAGAAGGCTCCAAGACAGGCAGGGACAGCCCCGCTGTCCAATGGAGGGCCTCCCCTAGTGCCTGCATGGCCTGCCTGGCTGGGAGGCGGTTGGCCTGCGCCATCGCCACCACCAGAAGCAGGGAGCAAAGGGCACTGCATGTTTGGCATTGATGCTTTTACCCAACTTCATTCTTGCATTTAAGGCAGGATGTTCAAAGCAGTTAAATTCTGCTTGTATTTTAAGTAACTTGTAATTTCCTATCTTAAAGAAAGGCTTATACCTTTCACTGCATATATCGAGCACAAAAGAAGTTAGGTTATATAATTTTGAAAATATGGGGCGCCTGGGTGGCGCAGTCGGTTAAGCGTCCGACTTCAGCCAGGTCACGATCTCGCAGTCCGTGAGTTCGAGCCCCGCGTCGGGCTCTGGGCTGATGGCTCAGAGCCTGGAGCCTGTTTCCGATTGTGTGTCTCCCTCTCTCTCTCTGCCCCTCCCCTGTTCATGCTCTGTCTCTCTCTGTCCCAAAAATAAATAAACGTTGAAAAAAAAAAAAAAGAAAATGTACCTATACAGAGACATACGTATTACACATATACGTGGCTATGTACACGCGTGGACACACGTGCACTCCAACATGTCTATTTCTTAAACATTGGCAGGCTCGGATGGGGCTCTGAATGCATCTCCGTGCTTCTGGCCAGCCGTGGGGCCATGTCCCTCTCAACTTTTTCACATACGGAGCTCTGTTCACTCACTTCAAATATGAATCCAGCACAGTTCTATCCCCAGCTCCTGAGAGGAAGCCGTGTGCCGATTGTTCCCCGCAGGGCACCTTCAGCAATATTCCATGGGATACGCTGCTTTTTGAAATGGAATTATATCATTAGTACTTGCTGGGATTAGTGCTGACATTGGGCTTATCCATCCTTACATCACCTCCTCTTGTTCAAAGGCTGAAGGGGTGATCTGACAAGCCCACCCACATGTTACCACCCGGGCTGGGAATATTCATTCTGTGTTAGGTTCTGTGCACATGTGTGGATGTGTGCTTGTGTGCATGTGTGTTCATGCATGCAGAGTGGAGCTGAATAACAGGAGAGGATTTATTCTACTAGGGCAAATATTTTATTTTATTTTTTAATAATTTTTTTAAGCTTATTATGAGAGAGAGACTGAGAGAGTGTGAGCTGGGAGCCAGGGTGGGGGGGGGGGGGGGGGGTGGGGAAGAGAGAGAAAATCCCAAGCAGGCTCTGCAACATCAGTGCAGAGCCCAACATGGGGCTCAAAACCGTGAAACTGCATGATCATGACCTGAGCCAAAATCAAGTATCAGATATTCAACCAACTAAGCCACCTAGATGCTCCTATTAGGGCAAATATTTTAAATGACTCTGCTCAGTCCCTGTGTCCCCCTCTGCCTTCAGGTGCCCTCATCCTTGCTCAGGGGAGCTGGCTCTCCTGGCCCTGGCTGTGTGTGGTGGCACTGGGCAGGCATGTGTGGACCTTTCCAGCCTGGCCTTCCATGGTCCAAGAATGTTCTGACTATAACTGATGCTTTCCCAGAAGCTTCCCCACTGTCTGGTGTCCTCCTTGTCCTGCAAAGCATCTCCATTTCCATCCTGGCCACAGGAGGTCCAGAGGGACCCCATGGCAGAATTTACATTAGGACAGAAGGAAAACCATTCCACTTCTAATGAGATTTTTCTTACCATGTCCACAGACTCTGTGTTGATCCCACTCCCAGGACCTTGCACAGGATGTGCTGTTTTGTTACTGACCACTCACATCCTTCACCACCAGGCAATTTCCCGATTTAGTGACAGAGTGTTTGTCCTTTATTTCACAGTCGGAGCCTCTGGGAAGTGGGTTTTGTACCTTGGGACAACCTGTTTGAACAGTTAGCTTCAGCTGACTCATCAGCAGTGACACATCAGCTGACCAGGCCCCTTGCACGAAAGCTGAGGGCCCCATCCCCACTGCGGGCGCCCCACTCAGACAGCTGCTCATGTGTCATGGTGGGCCATGTGCGGGACTCACCATTCTTTCTCTGTGTGTCCGTTCCTCTAACAGGTTGGTGGTCGGAGCCAGCTGTATCCTTTGCTGGTGTGCAGGTGACAACCGGCCATGCTCACACTCCCTACGGCCCCTCCCGCACTGCTCTCCCTTACGCCAAAGCCTACACTCTGCCGCCTGGATCCCGGCTCTTATAGGGCCACTCAGGGCAGATGACCTGTACTCAGGGGACAATTTGAGCCTGACCTTTGAGGCTAGGGCTTCCTGGAGACATTTCCTGAGCCACACACTGAGACGGCTGAGCCAGTCGGGGCAGCTGGACACAGCCGTGAGGCAGGTGGTGCTCCCTTGAGAGAAGCCCCAGCCAGGCCCGTTCCTTCAGAGGGAGCAGTAAAACCAGAGAGGGTCAAGAGAGGAGCCATGGGAGGATCTGAGGTCAGGAGAGGGGCTATCTGATGGAAGATGAAAGCTGGGGCTGCTAGCTGGGAATACGGGTCGAAAGCGGCTGTTTCGTGTCTTTCATGTAGGAAACTCTTCCTTGCTGTCACTACTCAGACCCCTTGGAGGGGGAGCCTGTCCCTAAAGGCTGAGATTAAACTCCAGGGAGCCTGCACAAATGCCCCATGGAGGCAGAAGCTGCCAGGGCACTGGGTGCTGGAGGGTGCCCACAGTGCTGTCACTGCACCTCCAGAGGCCCCACCTCACCTTGGGTGTGCATTTGTGGGATGGGGTTATGGGAGGGGGTCTTTGTGGCTCCTTCAGGCTGACTGGGGATTGGTGGGGGAGTGGGTGGCTGGCCATGGCACTGGGGTCTCTCCACTTGGCTCCTGATGTCATGATCCATTAGCATTCCTCAGCCTCTGGCAGATGTGGCCCTAGAGTGTGCTGGCTTCCTCACTGGGCTCGGACTGGACACCACTGTCATGATGAGAAGCATCCCCCTCCGGGGCTTTGACCAGGTATGGCTCTGTGTGCCCCCACTCCCACCTTGTGCTCTCCCCAGGGGACTGCATATCCTCGGCCAGCTGCCCCAGCCCAGACATGTGCAGGTATGGGCTGGGAATGAGGTCTCAGTCTTTAGAAACTGGCCCTTGAGTTGAATAAGGAGATTGTCCCTGAAATATAAAACACCCACCCAAGTGTGGAAAGGAACATGGAACAGGCACATGGAACAGGCACATGGAACATGTTGCAGCCTCCCACTGGACCTAAGGGCACCCCGGGCCAGCCTCACAGACTGCGAGGTTGAGTCACCCCTTCCCATCTCTCCATTAATGAGAGGCGAGTGTTGGCTGAAGCACTGTCCTCTGTCTCCCTTGCTGAGCCCTTCTGGTGTCTAAATGCGGTGCTGCCTCCCCAGGGTCAATACTATGTGGGGAAGCAGTTGCTAGACTGGTGAGGTCCTGGGTGATCACCTCAGGAGATGAAAGCCCCTGGCAGCATTCCCAGTCACCCACCATAGACTAAAAAAATGTAACTCATGAATCAGGATGAGCGTTTGGTGGTTTTCCTGGCCAGTGGTCCACCCCGAGCACTTGGAGCATCCACACAGTCTTTCAGGGCCTACCAGTTTGATGTCCTGTCCACTGTGCAGGGCCAACACCGCACGCAGTCTTCCTGTCAGTCGGCCACTCCTGAGCTGCCAGGCAGGAGCTCAGAGGGCCACCCTGCGGGGTCTAAAGAGTGCAGGTTGTCCTGATCCAGATCTGGGGCATAGATACCCTTGCTAATGGCGAGACGCAGATACCAGCACTGACTACAGATGCATCCGTGTTAGAAGCACATGGTTTGGTGTGTGTGTGTGTGTTTAACTAAAAACTCTTCAAGGGAAAGTCATCCATTAAAACCCAGGTCTGGGGCTGTCACTGCCAAGATGTCATATGTCCTTCCCCCATGTCCCTGAGAAGAAGACAGACCCCCGTCCATCTGCACTCTGGGCTCTCGGGGCTGGCGAGTTCTCACAGAGGGAAGCAGTGAGCCTGCCGTGTCCAGTTTCCAGCCCCCCCCCCCCCCCCAGCAGACACAGAGACCTGTCCCTCTGTCCTGTGCCAGCCACTCTATTTTACTTCACTCAGTGCCTCTGCACTAAGCACCTGCAACAGGGCTGCAGCATCCAGGGAAGGTCTCTGTGTCTTGGGCTATGGGTAGAGTGTGCCGGACAGCAAACAGGAGCCACAGGAGGCCGCACTGCAGGATGCAGATGCGGACAAGGGGCATGTAGGGATGAGGACCACTCAAAGGACTGGCCTTAGCACTGAGCCTGGGCAGAAGCTGGACAATGATGAGAAGGGATGCCCTGGGACACAGTGGTGAGGCCAGGTGACCCAGGCCCTGCTCTGCCTCAGAGAAGGATGTGAAGGCCTGGTAGCAGGCCTAGGGCCAGTGGTCTTGCCATGTGGCTCGATTTGACTCAGTAGTTCTCCCTCAGACTGTGACAGAGACTTCAGGCTTGTCAGGCATCCAGAGGGATCAACAGCCTACACTCCTTGTGACTGGTGTGACAATCCTGAACAGGCAGGCCTCTTCATCGTGTGTGTCTCTAAATGAACAGACACCAGAGGATTTAAACAGTGGCTTTTATTTTTCCTAAAAGAAAAAGCTGTGTCTGACTGGAGCTCTGGCCTGCACAAGCCCCCACAGTGGCACCAGGAACCAGGCCCCCATCTGCAGCCAGTCGGTGCAGAGCCTTCTGGGCTGGGAGGAGGGAGCCCTCTCTGCAGACACCCCAGCCAGCCCCATGGCCCCACCATACCTGCTACCTTGTACCTCTTAGTGGGGAGTAGAGGTGCCCACCTAGTGTCCCAGTTCCCCCAATGGTAGAGGAGGTGACAGCATTTGGCAGGGGCAGAGGGGTGGCGAGTCTAGAGCCAAGTGCGATCTGGCTTAGGCAGGCCAGAGCCCCCAGGAGAAGGGGGTGCTTCTCTGTCATTGTTTTTAGTAAAGACTTAGCATCTAGAAAGGAGTCTAAAGGTCAAGTGCATCCTAACCAAAGGGCCTCAGGCCCTTGGATTTGGAACCAGGGAGCATCAGATGCGCTCCCGGCTCAGCCCTCAGTTCCTCAGTTCCTCTGTGTGAGGAGGGGCACTGCACCTTCTCCTTTGGAGGAACCTTTATTGGGCTCTTCTAGGGCCTTTTCAAGCAGGCAGGAGACCAAGTCCTTTCTTCCTACAGTCCTCAGTAGTGGACATTCTCACTGCTACCTGGTCCTCACAGCATGTTTTCTTGTGCTTTGCAGCAAATGTCTTCCTTGGTCACAGCGTACATGGCCTCTCAAGGCACCAGGTTCCTGAAGCACTGTACCCCGTCAAGAGTGCAGAAACTTCCAGACGGCCAGCTCCAGGTCACCTGGGAGGACCTCACCTCTGGCAAGGAGAACATGGGCACCTTCAGCACTGTCCTGTGGGCCATAGGTAAGGGTGCACTGAGCCACATGTGCACATACAGAAGTGAGCCGTACATGGAGACCAGCAGCGCCACCTCCCCTTCCTGCTGCCTCCAGGGCTCTCCTCGTTCTGCTGGCTCTCAGGTGGGCCAGTCATTGCAGCCCACCTCTTGGGCCATGATAAGAGCCCGTGGGATTGCTTGCATTACCTCCCTGTGGGTTGCTTTGAGCTCCTCAGGAGTAGGGGTCTTACTGGTCTTTGTGGATGTCATACTTTGCAGATTTCCAAAGATGGCATCAGTGATAGGGCAGAGGCCTTGGGCCTTTCTCCGCCTTGCATGGGCTAGCTGCCACCTCACCCACAAGTGGTTATATTCTCATTCTCCTATTCTCTGAGAGGCATGGGTCCAGCTTTTGGTGGGGGTAAAGGCTGAGCAAGCATGGCTGGGCAAAATTAGACCATTGGTGACATGGCCAGACATACTCCTTCCCAGGCTGAATCCTCCTGCATCCCAAAGCCACCCCTGAGGGGCAGGATGGAAAGTGGGGATGCAGCGGGGTTGATACGGGCCCAGGGCCTGGGCCTGGGCTAGTCTGAGGGAGGGACGTGCACTTTGAGGACAGGCACCCTGGCCGGGAGCCAGGCAGGAAGAACAGAGAGCTCAGCCATTGTGCCCACCATGAGCCTGCTTGTGACTGGGGCACAGTGGTGCTGTGAGTGGGCTGTGGTCGCTGAGGGCTGACAGGTTCTCGTTAGTGAGGGCGTGTGGCACTGGGTGCAGTACACCTGCTTGGACATCGTGCCCACCTGATACCTGTCTTCTAGGGTTGGAATCTCGTTTTCCTAAGCCTTCTGTCAACTTGCATGTGAAAAAAACAATTGAGGTCTTCCTCTCTTGAGGTCTTTAGTTCTCAGGGTCTCTCTGCACTGGGCCTGGTCAGCTCTCCCTCTGCTATGAGCTCAGAACCTGAGTAGCTATCTGTCTCATCGTCTGCTTCCATGTCAGTTAATCGAATGTTTGCTGAGGACTCCGAGGGGCTGTCCCATCAGCGTTTGTCAAGACATGGTCGGCCTGGTTCCCACATCCCCTGCAGTGAGCCGCTGGGAGGAACAGGGCTGCACCACACAGCGATGTACATCTGAGAAGCCTCTCTGGTTTTCTGAGTTCTCAGAACACTTGGAATCAGACAATAAGATAAACTCTGGAGGAGTCAGAACCCTTCGCTTGTGTGTGGTCAACACGAGCAGATTTAAGGAGCAAGAAAATGCCTTGTAGTAAATTTAGTGCCTCTTGTCCAAAATTTAGCAAATGGCCACAGGAAATATTCTTGTTCAAATCATAAAACTAAATTTACTTTTACTAAGTAAAACCCACTTAGGTTTATTTTGTTGAACACCGTGAAAGGTTATATAACTATTCAGATCCAAAAGTGTAAATTGATATTTATCTTTTTTTTAAGTTTATCTACTTAGTTTGAGAGAGAGAGAGAGAATCCCATGCAGGCTTTGTGCTGTCAGCATGGAGCCTGACGCAGGGCTCAATCTCCTAGAACTGTGAGATCATGACCTGAGCAGATACCAAGAGTTGGGCGCTTAACCAACTGAGCCAGCCAGGCGCCCCTAAATTGACATTTATCTTAAACTCCATTCTAAAAGGTGAGGTGGCAAGTTTTTCCCCTGATAATGCTTTGGGCCTC